ATATTTCATGTTTTTGTGTCAGGAGGCAACATTTTGGTTCTCAGATACAACCAGAATAGCTCAGGGAGTGTGGTGGCCCCAAAGGCAGAGAAGCTGATGAGGAGCAGCCTGTTAAACTCCTCGGAAGAATGTCGCGATGCCAAGCATCTTCCTAATGGGCAACACCCATTGCTCAGCCCTTACTCGTTGACTCACTCAGCAAACAGTGATCCCTACTCAGTGCCAAATACCAACAAGTAGTATAAATCCAGCAGTGAAAAGTCAAAGTCATTACCTCTGTGGTGCTCACTGTCATGTGCAGGAGATCAAAAACAATGCATGCGGACCTTTATAAAAGAAACAAGAATACAGTGAGATGAAGTGTGGGCCAGGTAACTTAGCAGATTAAACTGCCTGCTTAGGCAGACGTGGGAGATGAGGGGGTCTGATCCCTGGCAGTGCTTGGGAGGATGAAAACAGAAAAATCACTATGAGTTCAATCTGTGTAGTAAGACCCTGTAGACCCTATATTAAATACATACAATTAAAAAAGAATACAATGAGATAAAGGAAAGGGGTGCGCTATCAGGGCACACATCTCTGGAGGACTGAAGGATGCATTTAGGAATGAAGGATGAAAAATGGCTACAGGCAAAGCTAGCCAAGAGTATTGCAGGTAGAAAAAAGAGCAAGTATAACAAAGGCCCAGTGGCAGGAAAGAGCTTGTTGGCTACAAAAACCATCCTGTGAAACCAACAGCATAAAAAGACTCATTTCTGGCAGAGGTCTTGGGCATTTTCATGTGTAGACCCAAATTGCAAAGAATAGGCACAGCTTTCTGGCTTAGAGGACCTGAGTTCTCTGATGTAGAAGTCTCATCACACTCAGTTTGTGCCCATTCATAATGGTGGATGTTCCCTGGGGCTAGGTGTCATGCTGCACTGAAGGAAGGGCTCAGCATGGTGGATCTTCCAACACAGTCTGAGGACCCTTCTGGGAAGTGTTGAGTATGGGCAGACTTAGGACACTAAGAAGCCTCTTTTTATGTTTGTCCAGTGATGAGTACAATGGATGAAATTGTTGTTTGTTCATCTCTTTCCTGTGTACTGTTAAAATTAGTTCCACCACCAAGATTTCCACACTTCAGATGTGAATTTAGGAAAAAGAAATCAAGATTTTGAAGCTAAGAAGTAAAGCAGAGAAAACATTCTCTAGATAAGTGCTCTACATGCAACTGTCAGAATCCTTGTGGTCAAAAATGAAAAGATAGTGAGAGAACTATTTTAAAGAGAAAAGAACCAAGAGTAAGGATGGCTACACTGGCTCAGGAAAAAATAAATAAAATAATAAGAGGTAGTGCTAAAGCTTTGAAAGGAATTTTTCATTTGAGAGAGATTATGAATAATGAAATGCAAACATAGTACTTAATATGTCTGTTAGCTTGTTTATGTTGCCTTCAGGAAAAATGAATAACATGTTAGGAGAGGAGCGGCTTTTCCTATGTTACCCTACTTCGTTATCCTTGGGGTAAAGTGCTGAGTCTGTACCCCAGATTACTTCACCAAACAAACAGTAGCAATTCAATGCTGGTTGCAAAGCCATATTTATTCCAAGATCACAAATTTCCTAAGCCTCTTCACAAATGAACCGGACAACATTGAAATTTCTAAGGAGATTTACTCCAGCTGTAGCAAATCCTTAATAATAAAAAATTTCCCCAAATGAGCCGGTCACACGGGAGGTAAATGAGACATTCTGTATGAAGTCAGCATGTCATTTGTAGTGTGCCCTTTGTATAAAAAGCCCAGCCAGAAGGCCGTGTGGTTAAGCGGGGTTTGTCCATGGGGCAGGAGCAGGACACTGTAAGGAGAGAGGAATTCAGCTGCCGAAGTGCAATTGTGACTCTGAGTTGCTTTCACCCCAAGCAAACCTGATAGAAAAATCCATTTTTCTAAGAAGTTCAAGAAAGGGCTGATTATTTGCTTCACAAAAGGCTTCACCAGAGGGGTCCTTTAACAAGCTCAGAGAATGAATGTATAATACGATTAAATTAAAGGAACCTTTTTTTCAAAAGTGCATTTCCTTACTACACATGTATGTAGACATGTGAAGCTGTATTTGTTGGTGGCCACATTGGACCAGTGGATTGCGGGCAGTGGACACACTGAGCAAATTGAGGCAGCTTGCAGTAATGGCATTTGTGGGAACCTTGCCTTTTGGCTGGTTTTGTTAATCCCTTAAATGACTGCATGGATGATTAGCCAACCACTTCTGAGGAACAAGCCTGTATGGGGCAGGGCGTCTCTGTCCTTCCTAAAGAAATTGTTAACACAAAGACTAGTTACAATATTTTTTAAAAACCTATTGAGGGTGAGCCATGTGCCCAACACTATTCTAGGCATCCCGACATGCCCTTTGACCTTCACACCAGGTATGTGAGATAAGTGGTGACGGGAATGATGGTGATTGATGCCCTTGTTTCAGAGACCTTGGTGTGTCTCAGCTATTATACTTGGAAAAAAGATATTTCAGAAGAGTAGCTATACTTTAGATACTTTTGACTTCATAAAAAAGTAGGCTCATCTTAAGTAATTCAAATTATAGAGGAAAACAAAGAAAGTAAAAATTACCAATTATTCTACCATTCATGTAACTTCACACTTAAAATTTAGCATGTAGTCTTTTAGATAGGAAACAAATGTTATATAATGTACTTCTAAAAAATCTGCCTTTTTAAGTTAACATCATAAACAGTTTTTTTTCCGTAAAAACACAAATTCTAGATCTGTAGCACCATTGACTGTGGCAGAAAAATATTTTATTTCATACAACTTACTACAATTGATCTTGTTTTGAAATTCTGTATCATTTTTATTGCTGTTTTTCTCTTTGAAATTAAAAAAAAATTGAATCACTCACCCCTAGGGTTGAGCTTTTTGACATCATGCTATTTATACACAAAGCATCTTCTCACTCTTCACATGCTTTAAAAAAAAAATGTATGCACGAAGATGCAAATACATCTTGGCACAATTGCCTGATTATTTTCTTAGGAAAATTTTCCAGCAGAAGGACGACTGGATTAAAGGCTATGTACATATTAACTTTTAGCACATTTTGCCAAAAATGCCTCCTAAAATGTTTGAACAGATTTCCATCCTGCTTACTGGCTCTGTCTGTGGGGTCAGTTATTTGTGCCCCACAGCTCAGCCTCTGAAGTGGGTGTGAAAATACAACAACCACATTGAAATTTCTTAGGACACAGTAGTAACACTGCACAGATTAGTCAGTCATTTAAATCTCTCAGTCCTTGGAGAAAATCCTAATATCCCTATTTTACTCTTACTCTCCCCATTTCTGAGACCCAGAAAGGTTCAGTGACTAACCTGACAGAACCCAGTTGGTTGTGATTAAGCTGGATCCAAACCCAGCCTCTAGGTGACCTGGGGCTGCCCGGTTAGTAAATAGGCATGTGCGCAGCTGAGGCCTCCCTGTCACTCCTGGAGAGGGCCTGTACCTCTCTTACTTCAGGGTGGAAATATTGGAGGGCTTTTCCAGAAGATCTGGGGAGTTTCCCCTGAAAGCAAACACAGCATCTTTTACTTTCGCTTTGGAAACAAGGAGGCCTGCCACCTCCCACACCAAAGTCCCAGACAGTCCCCCACCCAGGCTTTTTCACCTGCCAGGAAATCCCAGGAGCCCGCTCAACTTCCCCAGACTGGAGTCAGCTTGAAACTCTTCTTTGAGCTGTGTGAGCCCGCCTTCTAGGTCCCAGAAGGAACAACTCTTGGTCCACTCCTTTTTCTTCCTTCACAGGCCTATTCATTGGAAGTGGCTGAGGAATCTGAAATATGGCTCCCACGGGCTGGAGTGAGGCCTTGGGCCTCTCCAGCTCGCCTCAGCCACTTCTGCAGACAGCCAGCTCCCGCTGCTTCAGCTCACAGAGCTGCAGGCACATCCCAGGGGTCACATTCCCAGCCCCTCTCTCCACCTCAGGAAGAGATTTCTTTAAGTGTTATTTTAACAGGTTGATGCAAAATAAACCCAGGAGGGGAAGCTAGAGAGATGGATGGTTTTAGCAAATTAATAGCACAGTGGTCAGCAGTGGGAGAGTTACTAGTGGGGGAGAAGTTTCACATCTCAGGAGTTGTGACAAAGATGTGACTTGGATCCTAGCAAGGGACACAGCCTGGGCAAGGTGAGCACTGCCAGAGCCTGTGCCATAGTTGAAAAGAATGTGTCTGTTCAGATAGAGGGGCACTGACTGCAGCAGCCAGTGAGCTTGGCCTTGGGAGAGCAGCCTGCCCTGCCTCTTGCTGGGTCAGTAGTTGTATGCACATAGACGGGGTGCCAGGGATTCTGCCCTGCTTTAGAAGGATGGCTTCTATCACCCTAACTAATAAGCCACTGGCTCCTTTTCCAAATGTGGTGTTGACTAGATGCTGCAGAGGTGAACTTTGCAGTCATCTCAAGGAGTGAGGTGGCCCACTGGTGTGGGAGCCTTGTCACTCTCAATTGAAATTAAGCAAGAGGAAAGAATGGCCCAGGAGAAAGTTGAAACAGGGAGGCAGCAAAATAAGTATCTCTGAACCCTCTGTAGCATATATAATTTTATTCTGCCTCCATCCCAAACTTCTGGAGTAGATATTTTTCCTCATTTTACAGAGGAGAACATTGGTCCTTGAAGGGGTTCAAGGAATAACTTGACACAGAGCTAGGGAGAGACTCAAGATTCAGAGAGGCCATAATGGAAATAAAAATGGTGCTAGGGAAAAAAGCCAAGTGTTTGTTTTATGATCTTGGACTAACGCTGCTGCTCTAATGTGCGCAAGAGATAAGGGCTCCTGCCCAGCGTGACTTTAATGAAGCAGCGCAACTTCCTGTGGCTGCTTGCCTTTGACACTATGTTTATGGCTCTGAAACACCTGGGTGGCTCCAAGTGGATGGGGAAAGCAGGAGGAGGCATCTTTCTCCACTCAGGCTGATCTTCTGTCCCTGTCTCTTTCTCCAACCCCATGTAGGTATGACTTCATTGAGATTCGAGATGGGGATAGCGAGTCCGCAGACCTCCTGGGCAAGCACTGTGGGAACATCGCCCCGCCCACCATCATCTCCTCGGGGTCTATGCTGTACATCAAGTTCACGTCTGACTACGCCAGGCAGGGCGCAGGCTTCTCCCTGCGCTATGAGATCTTCAAGACAGGTCAGTGGGAGGGGTGCAACATTCGGGAAGGGCGGTGGCTTCGTCCTCTTGAAGGTGGCCAAGGGAAACAGTTTCAGGATGTATCTGAGATGTCCCAAGGTTGAAAGCTGTCTCGGGCCATGGTGCGACATGAGGGAGCAGATTGAGAAAGAGAGTGGGAGGCTCCAAGTAAGTGGAAACAACACTTACTGAAAGAATCTGACTTTCTGTATTTTTTTCCTCAATCAAACTAAGCTGAGAAAAAAGCAAAATTTAATTGAACTTCCACTGACTTCACGGCTTAATGTTGGCTTTCTTTGGAGCTGCAAGGGGCCGGAAGACATGACCTTCTCATTGTTTATAGGCCCTCAAGAGCTCACCATTGTCCCCTAAATAGATCACCCTGTAGCTTTAAAATTAGTCTTTTTTTTTTTAATGTATTTAGCACAGGGTCTACAGGGTCTCACTACACAGATAAGACTCCTAGTGCTTCTTCTGTTTTCAGGCATGCGCCACCACGCCCAGTCTCAATTGCTGTCTCAGCGCACCCCCGGGCGTGAGGCCAACACAGCAAGCCAGAGATCGAACCCCAGTCCCTGCGCATAACTTAGCAGGCGCTTTAGTCCACTGAGCTATCTGGCTGGCCTTGTAGCTTTAAAATTAAAATATGGCTCCTAGAAATTCCCCTTGGCTGTCCATCCTATTTCCTCTGCCAAGTATTTCTCCTTATCAGTGATGCAATCAACAAGATAGCAGAAGAGGACAGATACAGTGACCACTTGATTCCAGTAGGTCCTCCTTAGATTCCACTAGGACTGACCATGGACCAGTGTGTTTCTATGACTGAGGACAGCAGGTGTGCATTCACACGATGCTCCCCAAGCCGCATATCCTTCTATTTGATGGGTGGCACCCTGTATCCTGAGGCTGGCTGAGCCTGGCAAATCCTCCAGTTATCTCTCAACCTTGCCTGCTCCCCACCACAGAGGCAATGGCTCCATCTCCCAGGGCCTCCCCTCTGCTGCAGCCTGAGTTTTACAGCTCTCGGATGGAGTCTGGTTCAGGGGAAAGCTGTCAGCTCTGTCATCGAGAGGCCCACAGCCGGCGCCTGTTGAGTTCAGTGCAAAGGGAACTATTCATATATATTTTCGTTTTCATTAAACAGTTCTTGAAAGGAAGTAGTAGCTGCTGAAAGCACTTCTTATATCCACTCTGTCTAAATATTTGTTGGATTGGTCTGAGAAGATGGAAATTAAATAAAGGAGAGGGATCTTCAGAACCGTGTCATACTAGTGTGGGAACCCATGCTGTCACAAGGTGCGGGTCCCAAGATAGTCCATCTGTCATGAATTTTCATGACTTTTTGGCCACAATGGAGTCATAGGGTACTGAAGATATGTATGTGAAGCTTGGCGCTGGGATGAGGACCCTTACTAGCTTGATCCATGCCTTGAGAGGGCTGTGCAAGACCTAGATCAATGCCATCAGCACTGATGGGACATGGCCTAGAAGGGTCAGTGGGAAGAGGGGAGAGAGAAGGAATAAAACAGTGTTTCACCCTCTTCTAGAGAGGAGGGCATGTGTGTAAACTCTGTCCACAGCACACATACAGTTGATGTTGCTGGATGAACCTATACGTAAGTTGAAAAGAAAACTGAGAAAAATGAGTCAATACTAGGTCTGCAGGTATGATTCACATGCTGTGGTTATAAAAGTAGGAACAATCAAGGAGCTCTGTAGAGTCTTATCACTTTGCATGGTCCCTAGTGCTAAATTTGTCACTTGCCTCCACCATCCTGGAAAAGTAGCCCAGGCAGGATCTTCCAGAGACCTGGCCAAGGGAAGCCAGAACAAGGGTGAGGGGCCATGAAAGCTCACCTCCCCTCACTGTGGCCAGTCTCCTGCCTCCCAAGTTAGTGCTTCACACCACAGGATGCTGCATTCTCTCAAACCTCACCGGATAAGGCGTAGGAAATCTACCCATCATGCACATTTGGAAGGAGGATATTAAAAGATAAAGCGCACAAGAAGATATCGTAATTCAACACTGGTATTTGGACGACATGCTGAAGTGGAATTTTGAATGAAGCAACAAGTCTGTGAACTGCCTAGAAACCATGGAGCCAGCCAAGAACGGTGGGTGGCTTGGCCAGGGGCACTGGGCAGCCTGTGTCCAGACTGAGGTTGCCTTTAGAAGTGACTGTAGCAGTAACAGCCCTGCCAGCCCCATGCTTCTGAGGATATGAATGAAAGCAGATGAGAGCCCAGGAGCTTCTCAGGGCCACTCCCACCTGCCATTACACCCATCTGAAAGGGCAGCTCTCAGTGTGAAAGCCAGCGGTGTGCAGAACTGATGCATCCACAGTTGGACCCAAGCATGTGATGCCATTGAGCCATATCCCAGCCCTTTTCATTTTGAGATGGGCAGCAGAGTGAGTTCTGTCTGAGATGGTGTAAAAGTTTTGGAAATGAATAGTGGTAACCGTTGTACATTTTAAATGTACTTAATGTGCTTGAATTGTACATTTAACACTTTTGATATATAAATTTGATTAAAATAATAAATGCCTGGAAAGCTATACACACACATACAAAAAAAAAAAAAAAAAAAACTCGTATATGCACAAGCATGCAAACTCCAAACCTAAGAAGTTTCAGAAGATGGGTATTCTTCTTGGTGCCACTTGTACCCGTGTTTCCACGGTTGCAGTCCTGAGAGAAAACATACAAAGTTTACGTCAGCCACAGAACATGAAAGAATGGGTGGGCTAGCTGAAGAAATCCAAACAAACACAGCTATGTTTGCTAATCGGATTCATAAAAAGAAAGAAGGGGGAAACTGTAAACACAGAGACACAAGCAGCCTCACACACAGCCGTGGCAGCCTTTCTTTGGCAAGGCTGTGCTGCAGAGTTACACCCAGGGTTGTCCCGAGCCACAGTGCAGAGGGGAGAGGAGTCGTGGCTGGCAGGGAAGGCTCGAGACTTGGCACAGGAAGTACAAAAGATCCTGTGCATTTGCCGGCCATCCACCAATAAACAGTAACCCAAAGCCACTCAAACTCAAAAGACTTTGAGTCATCCAGTCCTCAACACAGAATCTTGCATAACAATAGAAACGTGTTTTGAGTTTCTTTTTTCCAATGTTTCTCTAAACAGAGTCCAAGATCGGGTTTTTGTTATTTTTTCCTAGTGCCCAGTGGCATTTCTGAAAATGCAGTTTCTAGTCTTCACAGGCAGACAAAACCTGAAGCATCCACTGCCCTCACTGTCTCCTTTAGGACCTAAGTTCCGCTTCTGTAGTTGAGCCAGGCAAGCTCTGGATAAGTCCATCATGGTTTCCCAGTTTTATATGTGTACATGCTTCTTCCACGTGCAAAATTACTATACAGTTTTCAGTGGGAAAACACGCAGCGGTCACTTTTCCATGCCAGAGTTCTTTGTTGTGAAATCATGCACTGCAGCCCAAATTCCCCAGCGTCTACGGGAAAACGTTGAGTGGACCCGAGTATTTGTTGACTGAGAGTTTTTTTTTTCTAAAAAAAAAAAAAACTTTATTCTTATAATGCATAACAGAAACAGATCTTGGACTGCACAGATTACTGGGAGACTCAACTTTTGTCTTCTTTTCCTGGACTTTATTCTTCATATTGGATATTCAGCTGCCTTTCTGATGTTTCAAACATGGTATAGTTCAAGATAAATATATGGGCTTGATAGATAGGTTTGATTTTTCAGCATAAAAATGATAAAATTGGGAAATGTTTTCCTGAAGAATACAATTCACCCTTCAGTACCCATGGCTGAAAAATTCCTTCTAGTAATGTAGGATCCAGGACCCTGGAAAGTGCGGATGGCCTGGACTCACATTCTCTAGGCCCTGCCCAGACTCACCGAGTATCCATTGTGGAATCCCTTGTCCCCCACCAATGAGAGAGACCAAAAGAAGAACCCAGCCTGAATTCCCTACTTCCAAAAGAGAGGGAGATTCTTCTGCCTCCTGAGGAAATGACAGTAGGACAACCATGCTGAGAGTATGGGGATGCCTTTGCTAGCTCTTGGGCCAGAAAAGAGACCTGTGTGAGCTCCCGAAGTGGCCCATGTGGAGAAGGCTACACAGAAGCCGCAAACTCTAACCTTGTCAAAATTCCTCTTGGCCCCCTGAGGACCTGCCAGCTGGCTTGGCTGTGTCAAATTGCATCATCCTGGGCCACTGAGGAGGCCACAGGACTTTGAGGCCCATTGGTAAACAGAGCCTAGGGGAGGTCACCCCTCTACTCCCTCTGGACCTGGCTGCCCTCTCATAGCCCTGGAGCCTGCCCTGCCACTGCCAGTCCTCCGAATGATGGAGCACAGAGCCTCCAGAATGTAGCACTTAGAACTTCCAAAGAAGCTGTGAAGGTTCCCTCACTGCCCAGGTGCAGCATGGGAGAACAGAGGAGGGGACGGACGGACGGATGGATGGATGGATGGATGGATGGATGGATGGATGGATGGTGGGTGGGTGGATGGATGGAGGATGGATGGATGGATGGATGGATGGATGGTGGGTGGGTGGATGGATGGATGGATGGATGGATGGATGGATGGATGGATGGATGGATGGATGAGGGATACTGGAGTTTCCTGTCCTGTGTGCCCCCGCCCCACGGATCTGCATGCCACCTTTTCCAAGTCAGACATTTACAGCTTTTCAGAAAGCCATCATCAATAAAAAGAGGCGCCTGCTCCACAAGCTACAGATGAAGACATCGCTGCAGGCTAAGATCGGCATATTGACATCACGTAGTTATATTTCAGCAAGAACCCCAGAGGATACTTCCTTCCAGTAAACACCTGGTTTATTGAGAGTTTCTGTGGTTTATTTTTTCTTCATGCTTAGTGTCTGTTATCTTCCCCATAAATACTGCTTCTTACCAAATGCAGCGTTTATATCAACTGACTGAACTTGTGCTGGGTTTTGCTCTGTGTATCTGTGGGTCCAGTCTGGGTCTCCCTACACCCAGGATCTTTGTACAGTTTTGCGCTGACAAATGGTGGTGGGGCGAGGCCCAAGGGCTCTTTCAGTAGCACTCCACCTAGAGGCTGCGCGAGAGCTGGCGCCTGTAATCCTCTCAGGAGCACCTGCTGTCGGCCAGGCCTGCACCAGACTGAGGGTGTGCGCGCAGTAAATCAGGCCACCCCTACGCATCCCCAGAAAGTAGACACAGAACTTAGGAGAGAAACAAGGCCCTCCCCACCACAAAAGAGCCAGAAGCCCTCCGAATGTCGATACACTGCTGCATTTTTCCAAACTTGCTGCTGGAGCGGCCTTTAACATCCTCGGCACCCCACTGTGATCCGCCAGCTAAAAACATCGATTGTTAATTGTCTGGCCATTACAGAGCTGCTCGTTTTAATATAGTCATGACATGAATGAGACCCAAGCTCCCCTCTGCCCCTCCCCTGAGGCACCTTGGGTCTTGAAGGGAGAAGGGGCACTTAGTTGGCTGTGGTACAATGGGGGCTAGTGTTGAGGTCAGCAATAAATAAGGGGTAACATTGTTTTCCCTGCTGGCAACCAGCAAGCCTTCCTTAAGGATTGAAATAATTTACATTTCTGGAGAGAACAGCTGAGTAATTGAGAAAGAAGACTCTGTTCCTCTTTGCAAGACCTCTTCTCTCTCTCTCTCTCTCTCTCTCTCTCTCTCTCTCTCTCTCTCTCTCTCTCTTTCTCTTCTTGTTTTCTCTCCTCTCTCTCTTTCCTCCCCTATCCCCCCATTCCTCTATTGCTACTCTTACTCTAATGTGTAGAACAAGCCTAATGTGCCTCCCTAACTGCTATCCTAAAAAGGGCTGCTTGAGGGCTTGAAATGTGGATAAGGACAGCAGCATAAGGAAAGTACCAGATAAAGAGGGTAGTGGATAAGGAGAGTTGTGTGCATTGCTCCGAGGGCCCTTTAGTAAAAACAAAAGCCTCGTGAGTAGAGGGATTTGGACCCAAACATTTAAATAACCCATGCAACAGGGGCAGCAAAGAAAGCCTCCTTCTTAATACTGAAGCTCTCTTTGGCACACAGGCTCTGAAGATTGTTCCAAAAACTTCACCAGTCCCAATGGGACCATTGAATCTCCTGGGTTTCCTGAAAAGTACCCCCATAACTTGGACTGCACTTTTACCATCCTCGCCAAACCCAAGATGGAGATCATCCTGCAGTTCCTGACCTTTGACCTGGAGCATGACCCTTTGCAGGTGGGAGAGGGAGACTGCAAATATGACTGGCTGGACATCTGGGATGGCATTCCACATGGTGAGTGACATCACTGCCATAGTTGGCTTGGACTTTGTGAATTGCTTTAGTAATCACAAGAAGGAAGAGTAAAAGTTCTCAAGGGAACAGGATGACTTTCTCTTCTTTATCTCCAGTGATTGGTTTGAGAGAAGTTACAGAAAGGTAGACTGGTTTTTTTGGAGATGTTTTCTTTAGACTGAGAAGATGGAAAGTCCTTAGGGTGATGTCCTTTTTCAGAACAAGTTGTCAGATTAGAAAGTGACTCTGTGGCCAGGCTATATGACCCCCTAGAAAGACTCTAGAGCCACACAGGCTGCTCTCAAATCCTGTATAGCCTTAGAAAGCTACTTAACTGCTTATCTTTGTCTTAACTACGTAAGTTGGTTTGTATCACCATCATTATTACTGGAATGTTGTTATTAATATAGTAGTATATGCTGAAAAGGTGCATTACTTGACACCACAATAAGTTTGAGAATCAAGGTGAATAACAACACAGACCTTGGGTATGGTCATTATTGGAAAGGAAACGAATCATTCACTTATATAGTTATTCTAAGTATTTTCCAATAGAAGGGAAACTTGCTAACTAGGCAAGAACATTTTCATCTCCTAGGAAAAGCATAAAATTTAATCAGGCAGCTAAGGCTTGGGTCCCACTCTGGTGCTTGTAGTAGTGTGAACAAGGCAACATCATATCTTAACTCCTCTGGAGCTCAATTTCTTCTTCTGAAGGATGAGTATTGTAATGACAGCTTTCTGCTCAGGCTGTAAACACAGAATGAAGCCAGCTCATCAAAGTACTTTTTAAATGTGCAGAAAAACCACTAGGCATTGTTCATCTTAGGTTGTTACATCCTTAAAAGTACATCTTAGGTTGTTATGTCCATAAAGAGATGGGTGGAAATGATTTGCACCATCCAAAGAGATGGGATGACACACAGTGATGGGAGGGGACAATGTATTGAAAATCAAGTTTCTGTTTTTTCTTTGTCTTGCGTGTCCAGTTGGCCCCCTGATTGGCAAGTACTGTGGGACCAAAACACCATCTGAACTCCGCTCGTCAACAGGGATCCTGTCGCTGACCTTTCACACAGATATGGCGGTGGCTAAGGATGGCTTCTCTGCACGTTACTACCTGGTGCACCAAGAACCACTGGAGAGTGAGTTGGAACATGGGGGCGTCAGAACTGTAGGGTGCATATGGTGGACCTCTGGGAGAGGCGGAGGTAGAACCCTGGAGAAGTAGCTATGGCATCTGACCTGGAGGAATCAGAGCCACATCCTCTTAACAGGCAAAACATCTCCCAAGAATGATTTATTCCCAGGCAAAGTCTCATAGTGCCATCCAAGTTCAGTTCCCTCATCTATGATATAAAAGGGAATAGTTAGGATATAAAAGGGTATAGTTAAGATCTAAGATGTTTAAGCCTAGTGCCAGTTTTCTCCCTCTCCAGGCCTCAGAGGCCAGTGTCACAAATTTGAGCTATTTCAAAGCTATCTCTCTTTCTCTCCTCTCCTCCGTCCCTCCTTCCTTACCCCCCATCTCTGTATTTTGATACTAAACATCTCTGCCTTTGGTTGAGTTTCATTGGCCAGACAATACAATTGCTTAAACTTTGGGAGCTTTTCCTATAGGCCAGGCATGTTGTAAAGCATTAAAAACTGTTGCTCTCATGGAACTTGCAATGTAGGCCATGAACGTCTGGCCCCTGGGCTTGTCTTCAAGTCTGCTGCTCCTGGCCATGTACTTCAGATGTGCTGCCATTTCTATTCAGCAGAAGCCTGGCGATCTCTGTAGGAAAGAATAAAGCATTTTAAGGATCTTAAGAGCTAGGGAAATCCTACCACAGGTGTGGACAGCTCACTTCTGATTTAACTATAGGCTCAGAAGCCTGACCTACAGGAAAAATCTCTGGGTTCTGCTCCAGACTTAGCTTTTTTCATGGAAGTTGTGTGATTTTAAAACAAAATCAAAAATTAGTGTGACAAATTATAGCAGGATCTGCGAATGACCAGTCAGAGCCAGAGATCCAATTTGATACTATGAAAATATTGACCAGTCTCTACGGCATCCAGGGAGGAACAGCAGTTAGAGGCCAGAGTGAGTGACTTCTGCATCTGTTTTCCCAGGCAGGTGGGTAGCGGACTAGAGTGTGACATGAATATGCTCCTAAAAGATCTCCCAGAGACAGGTGTTTATGCTTTGTAAGTCTGTCTTCCGTGCCAGAACTCATGAGATAGTTGGGTAAAAGAGAGACTCAGGAGTGCCTCCTGGGTGTTTATGGGTAAGGCTGTCTTCCCACAACTGAGCAGCCCACCCAGATTGCCACAAGTCTATCGCTCATCTACCTGTAGGGCAGCCACGGTGCAGCTGGCATCTGAGAGCATCCGGAGCCTGCAGGGTATCAGTTCCTGTATTTTAGATTGTATTTTTAATTTGTATGATGATTCTTATTTATCCATCACCTAATTTCTTTTAGGTCCAATTTAGTTTCTTTCAGACCCAGAGGGGTTGTCAAGCTCCCCTTGCTACAGTGGTTTTTAAACTGAGTCTATAATTAGAGTCTTTTAGATAAGGCAGTGCCTGCAATGACTTGTCCCTAGAAGGAAGCAGGGGGTGGCGTTCAGGCTGAATCACCTCACTCTGCCCTTGACCTTCTCTGCTCCCAGACTTTCAGTGCAATGTTCCTCTGGGAATGGAGTCAGGCCGGATTGCTGATGAGCAGATCAGCGCCTCCTCGACCTATTCCGATGGGAGGTGGTCCCCTCAACAAAGCCGACTCCACGGTGATGACAATGGCTGGACCCCCAACTTGGATTCCAACAAGGAGTATCTCCAGGTACTTCCTCAGACAGCAAGCGCATACAGAGTATGTGTGTACTGACGGGGCAACAGAGTGGCCCCACAGCTGCAGCGCACAAAGTGCCCAAGGAGACAAGCACAGCATACTTGAGAACCCCATTCAATCATTCATCTTCCGAACAAGTATGCATACCAGACACAAAAGGATTGTGCCGGGCACTGTGCTGTGTGCAGGGATACATTGATGAGTAGGGGGTAGACAGTCCATACCCTGGTGATGAAGGGGTTTGGGAGAAATTCCTTAGCTGGGATACTGTTTGCCCTATCAGTATCCAGGGAACATTTATGTGTGGTTGCTGGTCTCTCTCCTGCTTGGCACAGGAGGGGCAGCAGGGACCTGGGGGGAAGTGTTTTCACAAGGGCAAGCTGATTGGGTGGCAGCTGAATACGGCAACTTCTCCTGGTCTTCGCTACTTGGAGGGGGCCCTGCCAGGCAGGTTTTGCACATAGCTAGCAGGAGAACACATGGGAAAATGTCACTGCGGGAATGAAGCGCAAGTCGCCCAGATGCTCTGCAGCATCTTTTCAGACTATTGTTTGCTTTCCCTCTGAGCAAGTCTTGCAGCTCATGTCGAGTAGTCTTCCCGCACTGCATCCAGGAACGGTTCTCATCCTCTGGGAAGAAGGAAACAGAGGAAGAGCAAGCTGCAAGTCCTGTACTGGAGCAACATCTGCTTTTCTGACAGACATAGACAGCCCTGTGACCCACCGACAAGCCTGTCGTAGCTCTGATGTGACATGGTGACCTCTGCTCTAAGAAGCATAGTGCAGGCAAGGGAGAAAGATCACTAGGAACTCCGGGGAGCCCAAGAGTCTCCAACAACACACCTCTAAGGCCATCTGTCACTGTCTCTCCTCTCTGCCTCTCCAAAAATTCTTTTATCTTGTAAAGCCTCCAGAAAGTTCTCCTTTGTTACTGACAGCCCATTAATTATACTCCTTAATTTTGGTCCTTAATCACATACTTTTCCTATTGCTATCCACCTGTTTCTCATTCACACAGATGGCACCGCACACTCCTTTTTAATATCTTATGGTGCTGTGGACATACTGAGTGCCAGTCAGTCAGTACCTGCCAAACTGAGTTTCACCCATGTGCAGGGGCTGAAGTTTGGTCACATGGAGGCTGCCATTAAGAAACACCACGGCCGGTGGAGGAAGAACATTTTAGCAATTTCCAAATGGGTTTACACTGGAAAAGAAGGCACCTTAAAATTTTGGCCCTCCTCCCTGGAGACCAAAAGGTCAGGACTTGGTGCATAAGCCTAATTGCTTGGGCAGGCTCTGTATGCCCTCTGACCCCTTGGTGACCTGAGCAACTAAAGACACAATGGCATGAGGGAGCACGGGGATGGGAGGCAGTTGTGAGCTGTGACTTTTGCAACCAGGGCATTATAAGTGGATTGGATTGAATTAGACTGGATTGGAGCAGAGCGGGCTTAGCCGTGCATTGCTACTTTAGAGCGGCGTCTGCTTTCTCAGCCCAAGGCAGGCCATAGTTTAATAAGGAAGGATCACAATTCTAGATGCTCAATGATTAGGAGAAACTGAATACTGGCCATTCAGATTTGTGGAACAGGAAAAGAGAGAAAAGTAATGAAGTTACATTTCGAAGTGTCTGATTCAGTGTCAAGGGAGTTGAGTTTAATTGTCCAGTGGAATTGCAGACTGAGCCTAATTATCCATATATCTCATGAGTCACACACTAGATTGTGAGCTAAGTATGACAGTTGTGTCCTTTGTAGAAAAAAGCCAGATGCTGCCCCTTGTTGAGAGTGTTGGGCCCCTTATCTTCCCCTTCCTGTCTTCCCAGGTGGACCTCCGCTTTCTAACCATGCTCACAGCCATTGCAACACAGGGTGCAATTTCCAGGGAAACCCAGAATGGCTACTATGTCAAATCTTACAAGCTGGAGGTCAGCACCAATGGGGAAGATTGGATGGTATACCGACATGGCAAGAACCACAAGGTAAGCTATGTCCCTACCTCTGAGGCAGTCTGGACGAGTGTAGGAAGGATGTGACAGCAGGAGATTCAAGTGGATCCCACACACGAGAGAAGGCCTTGTTTACTGAGGCTCAAATAATTGGAGGTCAGAGATATGACAACCCTGAAAATCTTCTCTTGTATGCTAAAGCAGTTGGAAAATACCATTTTGTTACTTATAGTCTGACTATTGTGATATTGCACAGGAGAGAGGGAGGGAAGAAAGGAGGGAGGAAAAGAGGTTGCAGAGCGTTCTCTGACTACAAATGAAGGGGAAAATGTGTTCCACGTCCATGTCTTCCCACACAGGACTGACTGAGCATTTATGGCCTGAGTCCCTTACCCATGCTGTGTTAACAATCACAAAACCACATGAAGCTGCAGTTTAGGAGTTACTGAGGTCTGGAAATGAAAGAGCACAAATCCTGAGAGGGAATCACAATGTCTCAGAGAAAAAAGAAGACAATAAATAATGAGACAAACTTCAGTTCATCAGGACTGGGATCTGAACCAGCAATCATGCCTAGCAGTGAGGCATTGAATCCTCTCGGCTGGTGTCCTTGGTGTCTACAGCTCTGGGATGTGTGGATGTGGGGCTTTTGTTGTCCACAGGGACAAGTGACTGGCATTCAGCTGTCTTAGGATACGTGGCATTCTGGGTCTGCAGCTGGTGATATGCTGGTTGTAATGCACCAGGCATGGAGAAGGCTTGTTGGAAGTAGCTCATGTGTCACCTGGGTGGGACATAGGGTGAGATGGGACCACTGCAGGCTGTGGCTGGGTCTTGGGTTAGGAAGCATGTGGTGTGCTGGGGGTTCCCAGAGGCGGGTTGTCCTTCCTGGGAAGGGGGCTGGGAGTGGGTAGAAGGGTCCCTTCCTCTTAGTGCTACAGTTCCACCAGGCCTCGGCTCTCTAGGTCTGAATTAACAGAATAAGGCACGTGTGGCCAAAGAGTTTACAAAAGGGAATCTGCTTGGCTCCTGTCACTGTCCCAAGGCAGATTGCACTACAACTGCTGGTACAACTGGAAGCCTTAGACCCAGAAAATCCTGAACTTTAATGTTGGCAGTTGTATTCAGGAAATGTGCATTTTTAAAGGAGTGGGTTTTTTTAAAAAATTAAAATCGCCATAGTAACATGGCAACATTCAAGTGAAAATCATGGTTTCTGGATATTATCAGGTCTCTCTCTCTCTCTCTCTCTCTCTCTCTCTCTCTCTCACACACACACACACACACACACACACACACACACACACACACACTTTCTCCACTTCCCTAGTAGGGAAAGTGAGGCACTTGGCAATAGACAGACACCCCACCTTCATGTGTGGGCCAGGTCTGGTTTCCCACTGACTCAGTCTCAGGAAGGGTTGCCAGACGTCAGTGGGGAATGGCAAGTGAATGGGTGCGGGGAGATCTGGGCCTGAGGTGTCCTCATTCAACCCCACTTGTACCTTTTCACACAGCTTTTTGACAAGAACCCAGTGGAGCCCAGAAGTTCAGCCTGTGGGCCTGTGCCAGCCCTGAGCAAGGCGGTCCTGGGGGAGAGGACCGAGGCTCACCTGACCGTCTCCCTGTCCAGGCTCAATGACTAAGCAGTGCTGGCCAGAGGGATACTGTAGCATAAGCCGGTTTTAAAAGCACACAGATGGACTGGGATGCTATTTAAAACACCATTTGTAGGAAATCTGCTTTTGGAAATACCTTAGCACTGCACATTTTGATAGAATGCTGTCGTCTTCCCTCGCTTTATCCCTGTATCCATTCTGCAGGGAAGATGTTCCTGCGAACTGAATTTAGGTCTCTGGTCTTTAGCATGCTTCCTCTCCAGTCTTCCTACTGCAAGCATCCTCTCTCTTTGTTCCTCCTCTTGCCCTTGGCTCAATTTCCTTCCCCAAGTAACCAACCGGGTAACGTTCAGTTTTAGTTTTAGTTTTAGTCTTAGCATAATAGTCGTCCCCAAATAAAGGGATCAAAGCAGAAGCAAGGCCTCCATTAGAAATGTGGCCTCCCAGTACTTAATAGGCAGGAAAATGGAGAGCCTGCCAATTAGGCATTGCCCTGCTCAGCTCCCTCACCTCACCATGCGTTGGGGGGGGGCGGCCAGCAGGCCTTGCCCACCCTTCCCTGCAAGGGTGCCCCCCACTGCCCATTCATTAGCAGATCTCCCCCAGATAGCTGTGTTTATTGTGCAGACTCCACACTGTTCGCGGTGTGTCTGTACAGCTCTCCAGGCTGTTGGGGTTGAAATAGTTGAGTGAACCATGCCAAATAGATTTGTCAGGTCTACTGCAGTTTGATTTGATGCCACGACAGGGGAGGCTGGGTGGAGAGGAGACTGGGGGGCAGTGAGAGAAGATTTCATCTATGCTGGCGTTACCACCAAGTTTCTCTTTGTGGCCTCCGGACACTGGGCGCTGGGCCAAGCTAACTGGTGTCAAGTGGTGGGCATGAAAGCAAAGCTCAGATGGCAGGACCTCAGGAAAGCCAAAGCAGAGAGAGATGCAGCGGCCCTGCAGCCAGCTCACAAGGTGTGCAAACTCCTTCCCAGCACACAGAGAGCGAAGGGGGCATTGTGACATTTGGGGCCGAAAGTTGGAAACTCACTTTCAATTCCCTTGTCACAGTCTACACCAGTGCAGAGTATCAGAGACAAGGGAGTGGGGAAAATCAGAGAAAAACAAGATTAATGAGCACACAAGGTGGCAGGCAATGACTGTGCTACACCCCTGCAGAACATTATTTGCAATTTGGACTCATGCTGGGTGAGGCGAGGTCTGACTCTGTGGGGAAATGACTTTTTTCTCACTATCAGGAAGAAAGGGAAAACTAAGAAATTGTTCAGGCTCTCTCCTCAGTCTCTTTCCACCCAACAGATATTCATGAGTTTGCCTTTGAGAAAGCTAGTCTGGCTGTTGCTGAGGGGATTGTAAGCATCCTTCTGGCGAAACACAGCCTGGTGACGCAGGCCATATGCGCAGCACATCCCCGAGTCCGCCAGTTCCACAGGCATAAATAGGAAACCTATGATTTTCATGTAGGGCGGGCCCTTGTCATGCATATTTATGGCTTAACCACAAGGCCAAGCACTCAGCCCCTTGATGGAACCCATCTCCAGCCCACGTGCGCCCTTATATTATACAAATTGCTTCACATGGAATTCTTCAGAAACCACAGCAGAAACTACTGCTTTGGGTTTTACCAGCTGTGTGAGTAACATCCCAGACATAGACGTCTTGTGGCCGGTGCAGTGGTAGAAGCTCAAGTAAATGTGTGTAATTTTAAGGCGCACACAGCCCGAGGGGTGCACAGAAGAATGGGTGGTGGGAGGCCAGGCTAGCTGAGGTCCTGCCTCCTGAGATTCCACTCCCCTGAGGCTGCCTTGGAGAGGAATAGAGACAGGGCTGATGTCAGGATAGTGAGACCCAGGCTGTTCCCCTTACAAGTCTGAGCAGAATTCTTCCTTATTTGGTCAGTGTGGGCAGCTCTTTCACTGACAAGAGCTCAGGTTACCTTGTCCTTCGTCATGGGGTTATTGAGCTGTTCTCATCTATTTAAAAATAAGTTAGGAGGGCCAGTGAGATAGCTCAGTGGACTAAGTGCCTGCTTAGGCAAGCTCAGAGACCCAGGTTTGATCCCCCAGAGACCCAGGTTTGATCCCCACACCACATGCCATGCCAGCCAGGCTCCTGGGCTGGCTGAACCAGGACCAAGTCTGGGTATGGTGGCGTACACCTGTAATTTCAGCACTACAGAGGCTGAAAACAGGAGGATCACTACAAGTCTGATCTGTGTAATGAGACACTGTACCAAATACATTAAAAAAATAAATAAGTTAGGGACAGAAGGAGGGTCGTTACACCTTGGAATACAGATTGAAGATGGAATGGTAAAGAAAGAGAAAAGGTTTTGGCCCACTAGTTTTCAGAATCACCCTATAATAAGTGGCAGGAGTGCTGTAATCCAGTAAAAGCAATCCTGTGTCATGAGTGCCACAGTGGACTGTTGGTATCATTGAAAGATCTAAAAGGTTTGCCATCACTGCTCTAAGCTCATCGTATTAACACAGTGATGCCCTCCAAGGGGCCCAGGTACTGCTCAATTGCTGATTTACTGCTTCAGAATTTCATGCGCTGTGTAATGAAAAGTGTCAGAAACCAAACAACTTGCCAGAGGCAGTGAAGTGGTGGAGTCCCAGTAAGGGCTCTTGCTCCACTCTTGGCCTCCTGCTGGATGCTTGGCCTCCTGCTCGACCTTGGCCACCCACAGGCTGCCGCCAGCCTTGCTCCTCTTCTTGCACCCTGAGGGAGATGGGCTTCCTGTTAGTTACTCTCAGGCCCAGAGGCACACGTCTTCCTGGAGGGCTCAAGTTCTGGAGGAGAGCACTGCATCGCCTGCACCGCCTAGAGCTCTGGGCTCAGCGCTGTGGTGTCCGGGTACCATTGCAGTTGTGGGGACGCAGAGTTCAAAGAAATTGCTCTGTGTTTGATTTGGCTACATCCCTTCAAAACAAATAAACACCCCACTTCAAAACTCCTCTGTCCTATATTTGTTTTCTAAATTAAAACAAATCATTTTAAAATCAGAGACTTGGGAGGAGAGTGTTGTGTCTGAAAGCCAAACCTCCACATTAGCTGGCTAGAGTTAGAAGAACTCGAGTCAGTCTCCTAGAGATCTAGCTAGTCTCCTTCAGATCTTCGGGATGATGCACTTGTGACCTGGGCCACTTTCCTTCCCAGCCCTACGCCTGGGTGACCCCGTGCCCCCAGAGCACCTGGAGATCTGTGGCAGAAGGCCCTGCAGAGGTGGCATACTTAGCAGCCTGACCTAAAGCCAGAAGCCTAGCCAGGACCATGAGAAGTCCTCTCGGCCTTCCCTGGGCCTGAGCTTGCGCTGCCTTGGATTAATGTGCTGCATCTTAGCCTCATTTTTCTCTCAGAGGTGTAATCACTCCCCTAGCTGAAAATTTGAATTTTCAAAAG